CTCTGGCTTTGGAAAAGTCTTTGTACTTCCTGTGTCCTTAACAGCCAAAGGGAGTCCTCTATCCCAAGCCTGGATGAGAGCGGAGGTTCAAGTTGCAGTGACAGACTCCAGAGCAGTGTCTTGCAGAGGAATGCAAAGAATGTTCTTGCCTTCAGTAGCAATTCCAGCAAAACATCTGGCTGCACATATCAGGGTTTTTTATATTGCTTTCTTGAAGAATTTCTGCCTTTGCCTGGCACTGAGAGGGGCCTTGAGAGATTGTATGGCATCACGGAAGTTGACAGCTTCAAAGTGAGAGTTACATGCTTGGAGGAAGGGGCTGTGGTAGCCAGTGTGGTCAGGCGAGGAGGTGATGCTGAGCTGAACATACTGTCCCTGCACTGCTCTGGTAGATGCTTTCACATCTAAGTACTGCCACTGCACCTGACAAGCATGTTAATGAAAGAGGAGCATGGAGGTGATAGAATGTGCTGTAAGCCTCATGCTGTTGGCCACATCAGATGATGTTCAGTACAGTGCTGTGCTATAACCCTTACCCTGGCTCATGAGTAAGACTCTAGAGCACCCATCTGCCCTTCCCCAGCTGCTGTGTTCTGCTCCAAGGGAGATCATCCTGTCAGCAGCACAGGGCAGGTTACCTCCCACTGACTGCTCTCTTCTGTCAGTGCCCTGGCATGGTGCAGGGGCTGGGCAGGGGCTAGCATTCTGTGGGAAGTGTCCGTCTGAGTTGGCAGCTACCTTCCCACTTCATCTCTGTGCTCGGCTTCTCCTGCTTCTTTACAGCTGCATGCCCCAGCCAAGGCAGCGTGTATCCATGCAGCAAAGCTGTCTGTCCTCTGGATGGCTGGTAGTGCTAAGGAACGCGGCACAGTGTGGTGAGTGTACCCACACACACACAGCCCCGCGTGGCACTGCCGTGCAGGTAGGAGCAGGCTGAGGCTGAGGGCTGAGGCTGGGTGCTCAAGGCTTCATGTCCACCTCACCCCTCAGTCCAGGCAGGCATGGTGCCCAAGCACCTCTGTGGAAACTTTGACTCCCAGCGTAGGAGAAGCTCTCAGCCATGGCTCTGTGTGGTTTTAGCAGTCAGGCTCTCCTGACTGGCACAGTGGGAAACAACAAATGTGCCCTTCCTATGTGTGGTAGCCCCAGGTGCAAAAGTGTTGAGGAGTGCCTAATTGCTGTGCTCTATAAAAAGAAAGAAGTAAGAAGGGTTTTTGCAGAGAGTATAATCTCCCAGGGAAGAAATAGCTGCACTTTTCCACCCACACCACGCACAGGTGGCCTTCATGCATCGACTGATCCTTTCCCTTCTACTGACCATGGTCAGACAGTTGGAGCCTCCTGCTGGGGCACAACACCTCCTTCCACCATGGGGCAGGACTAAGGCTCTCCTCCCCCTCTCATCTCTGTGCCAGGCTGGGCAACTGGCACAGCCATTCTCAGCAGGATCCTCTTTGGAGGATTTTAGTTATGGGTGTCTCTAATCCTCAGCTGCCTCCAGTAGCTCCTGTGACTTCAGCTGGCTACACACTGTCCAGCGCAGTTCATATGGCCTTGCCAGTGCTCCCTGTCTCTGCACTGTCCATCTGTCTCCCACTCAGACAGAACCTCCTTATGATCCCAGGGCCCTCAGTGGGTGTTACTGACCATGCATCTTCTCTGCAGTGACAAGACATTGACAGGGCTCACCGTGGCTGGTGAGGTGTGTCTGAGTCCCAGGTAGCACCAGGTCTGAGGAACCAGAAAGGCATGGAGGAAGAGATGGATCTGGGGCAGACAGAGCTGCTGGAAGTGCTTGGTGACCTTGAAAGCATTCTTCCACCCAACAACTGATTTAACTGGAGAGTGATTTGTCGCAGGATGTTGTAAAGATTAGAAGTATGAAAAGAGATTTGAAACGCAGTGGGATAAAAATAATGTATCTGCAACCTTTGGCTCAGAAAATGACCTAAATCTGGTTGATCAGGAAAGGGAATAGGGCTCTGGAAGAGTGGAGGTTGTGCAGTTTTCCCAAACTACTAGCTGTGCTCATGGGAGCTGGCAGAAAAGGAGGGCTGTTTCTTGAACCTGGTTTGTTTGCCTTGAACTAAACTAGAAGGTTCTTCTAGATTTGTCACTTCCGCACGGTTCTGTCCTCTCTTCATTTTCTCGTACTTAATTACATCGTGGTAGCCTTCAGAGAATCTCCTTCTCTGTAAAGCATCTGGAAGCCTCTGCTGTTTCTTCTACTCATATAAAAACGTGCAACTGCTGGGGGAGCTCCAGACAGCAGCCGATGGGCTCTCTATCGCAGTGAAGGCACAACAAGCCAAGCTCCTGCCACAGCCATGGAGCGATCACAGCCATGACTGGAAGGGGAAGGAGCAGCTGGTGAACTCCTCAACACAGCCAGGCAAACTAGGCACAGCATCTTCAGCAGTGTCTTATCACAGACACACAGGCCTGGAGATTGCACCCAGCTGCAGGGGCTGGGGCTCAAAGCAGCTGCTTGGGGGTCATGCATGGGATGATGGGCAGGGTATGGAAGCACATGGCAGATGACAGGTAAAAGTTAGTGCTGCTTTACTCATCACAACAGAATTTGCCTGGCTTGTACTGAACGCAGCACTAAGCTGCAAGGAGCTGCCTTCCAGTGAGGACATAGTGTACCAGAAAATCAGGTGCATAGCTTGATAATGATACGATGATACAGTTTTGGCTCATACAAGCAGTAACAAGAGACGGGAGCAGAATACAAGGAGCCAAGCATCCAGTGAGAAGACTGGGAGAGAAGGAGATGTGGGAAGGAAGTAAGGAAAAGTAGGTGTAGTCTGCAATGGAGAAGATGTACTTGGGTTAGGGCTGAGGATCTGCCTGTCCTGAGGAGGAGGATGGCTGGGCAGAAGATGGCCTTTTCCTTTCCCCTCCACCTGTCAGAGGGATTCTGCCTTTGGGCTACAGTGTCACCTTTGCTGGAAGGTGGTGATGTTTGTTTTTCTGCCCCTCATCTGGAATCTGCATTCTGTTGGCAGAAAGGGATCAACTCCCCAGGCTTTTCTAATTTTTGCTTCTGATTTTGTTTTCTTAATTGGACATGCAGCCACCAATTCTGTGAGCAGGCTGCTGCAGGGACTGGTGTGCTGAGGGGAAAGCTGGCTAATGATGCAGGGAGCTGCACGAAGCATCACTGGGGAATGCCTCATGCAAATGCATAATATGCATAATTTACTGAGACTTTAATATTAATGTTCAACCTAGCCTAACCCCTTGTAAAAACAATTAGCAACAAAACTGCCTTTGCAGCTACATAGATGTCTCATTCTTCCAGTGGCAGCAGTAGGGCTTTTCTTCCTCTGCCCCATGCTGCCACTCACTCTGGTTCTCAGCCTCTCACTCAGAGGGCAGGAATGAGGAAAGAAAGACAGCTTTTAAAAGCTCCATGCTGCTCTGTGGGGCCATTGAGGAGCTGGTCTTGTCCTGTATCTCTGAGGATCAGCACAGCCCTCGGGACTCCTCGCCCTTCCTCTCCTTCCAAACACGGAGAAGATTTCGCTTTGTAGCAAAGTTTCTTTTCTCTCTCTTTTTATTTAATTTTACCATCTCGGGCCTCACTTATCCTCATGCCTCTCTCCCACCCAGTGCCATTTGACAGCTGTCTATCACTTTGTAGCTGCCATTCAAATGGAATTTGTTTGGCTGGTAGATAGCACGTACGAATTGGTGCAGGCAGTGGCATTAGGAGTGAGCCGATACCTTATGCGACAAACCTCCATTCCCACTTTCAGCTATGTTCAGGCCCTTGCTTCATGAATTGCTGCCATACATCCATCCCAATGGAAGTGGAGCCCAAGCCTGACCCTGGTGGTTATGGCTCTGAGGGGACAATATCCTTTTGGAAATTGCTTCTAATTTGGGCGGCTTCTAGAGACAAAAGCTTCTTGGAGAGCATCTCTGGAGCCTGATCTGTGGACCTGCTGTAGCCTCATGTGTCACCTCATTGTTTCATCCTCCCCCTGCCGAGCGCCATCACCCAGTTCTGACTCCTCCATCCCCAGTGACAAGGGCACCTGGCGAAGGCTTCTCAAGTTGTGGCACTATCAGAATTTAGCTGAGGGTGGCAGTGTGGAAGGAAACAGGAACTGGGGAAACGATAATGCAATATCCACTTTTCCACCAGCCTTCACACCCCAGAGGAGAGTGGCCAGCTAGGGATAAGGCTCAAACACCTCTTGCAGCATATTCTTGTGTCTACATACAAAGAGCTGGAAGGGCTCACAGAGAGGTCTGCAGGACACAAAGCCAGGTGCTAGCAGGTCCCTGTGCTCATGGCAGCGCTTGCCTCTGTTAGGATTAAAAGTGAAGAAGCTGTGGTCCCTCAGCACTCCTGCTCTGACCTCCCATGTTCTTCCATCTAAGCAGACAGCATAGCCTTTTTTCCCCCAGAAACTCTTGAACTGTGTGTATGGGAACTGCTGAATCACGGCCTGAACCTCAGATTGATCACCTGAGGCGAGCAATGCGTCAGCCCTGGGAGCACAGGTGAAGGCAATTCTCCTGTCCTGCCTGAAGGGATGGAGCCTGGCTGCACCTCTCCCAGACCCATTTAAGAGCTGATTACCAGTGGGGAGGGATCTCTTCTGGAGGTCCACTCCACTGGAGTTTTGTAAGTGAGCCCAGGATATGAGCAAGCATCCTATCTTTTCTACTGTGGTGTAATAGCTGCATAGCCAAGCTCTCTGGTACATCTTGTAACTATGGCATCTGTACATTCATTGATTGTACACCTGTGTAAATCTGAGCAAGCCTAGTTTTGGGGCTGGAGTGTCTGCATCTGAGCAGTTTTTCCTCTTAGAAAATGGGAGGGTGAACAGAGAACATCAATTCATAGTGCAGCCTTCCTTTCTCTTCCTTGGTGACTGGTGAGGGGGGGGAGAACAAGCTCTCAGCTTCTGCCAGCCAAATGATGCACTGTCGTTAGAGCTCTGAAGCAGGAAAATGCTTAAGAATATCTTTAATTCCAGAGCCTGGAGTGAATTCTCACAACCGTGGAACAAGGCTGAGGGCCATCAGGTTCCTGGAGAAGCTCTCCTACCCCAGCTCTGCAGCTATGGATCTACAGCCAATATGCTCCTCTCCAGTCTCTGTCTGTCCACGGCCAAAGCCTGGCCTTCCCAGTGGCTCGGGCTTCTTGCAGAGGCAGGCAACGTCCCTGGAGGTGTGTGGAAAAGTGCCTACAGGTTTCAGTCTGTTTTGTGTTTCCTTTGCGAAGCATGGACTTGAATTTCTTCATTTGCTTCCTGAAGTTCAAAGCCAAGGTGGGCGCACTTGGACTGAACGGCCTAACCTGGTGATCTAACAGTGGTGCTTAATCTTTCAGGGCAAAAATGAAGACTATTGCATGCCATCCAGAACAGAGCATTAATGGGACATTCAGGTTGCAGCTCCCACACTGGGTGCCTGGTGACTTCTGGAGCTCCCTCAGTGTTGGAGACGCCATGCAGGGCTGGCAGACTGGGGCAGGACTGAGGGAGCCACTGGGATGCTGGCAGCTGCAACAAGACCAAGCTCAGATCCTCAGAAGCCTTGACTCAGAGTTACGTGGCTGTGCCCAAAGGCTCCCTCTCCTCTCTGCCTCTTTGGGCACCACCCTGCTGCCCTTCTCCCCGCCCCACAACTCCAGTTCCCCACGAATGCCCTCACTGTCATAGAGCAGGGCAGTGAGGAAGAGAGCACAGAGAAGGCCAGCCAGGCATTCCCTTTCTCACCACGGAGAGGAAGGCACTGCTGATCTGGAAGGCATTGCCTCTGCCCAGCGGCTGCATTGCATTGCTCATCTCTCCTCCTCCCTGCTGCTGCCCTCATTTGGCTGATTCTGTAGATGAAAAGTGGCCTTTAAAATATAGGACAAGGTCATGCTTCTCTTCCTGCAGTCACAGCCCTGTGCAGCTGTGCCCTGATGCTCACTAACAGCAGCTTTGAGGAGGCGCTGTCTGCAGGTGCTGAATGCCCCATGGGGATGCAACACCAGCAGTGGTACACAGGCAGCAGCAAGGGTGCAAGTTGGCGGTGATGGGGTGCCCACCTCCAGCACTACCACAGCATCCACCCAGAGAGGCACTGGGCTGGGGGGCTGGGGCTGGCATTCAGTTGTGCTGCTGCTGTTCCAGAGTGGGTTTCTTTCCATCGTGTGTCCTCTACACCGTTTCTATGAGACATATTGACAGTTTTGTGCCATGCAGTACAAATGCACAGTCCTGTTTGTGGGTCTCCAGAGCAGAGGGAGTTGTGCTGATGTGTTTGTAGTTGTTCCTGCCCCAGTAGTGCCCTCTACTATGGGAGGAAGGTTGCTTTCTTTGCAAGCAGAAAACACTGCTCTTGCTCACCATGTTCCTGCTTGCCCCTCCTGGCACTGCCACTATTAGCTACAGCTCTATTTGTCCATGGTGCATCTCGGCAGAGGAACTGGCATGCCAGCAGTCCAGTAGCTTTCAGAGCTGATGCTTTGCAGACTAAGAAATGTGACGAGAGTTAGGTGGGCATTGTAGTGTTTGCGAACAGCATTAGAGTGGGACACAAAGGTGCTGTCTGGGAGGGCTCAGCAGTGTTAGGTTGTCCTGAGTGCTCCTTATTGTGCCTTCTTGCCCCTGTTGTTGCTGCTAGACTTTGTCCTCTGTGGTCCAAACTGTCAGTGCTTCAGCCCGCATGAGCCAAGGTAAAGTGTGCAAATGAACTTCCCTGGGAGCAGTCCAAGCCTGAAAGTCATCTGCTCTCCCCACAAGCATGAAGAGATTGAAAATAACAGGCTTGCTATCTCAAGGGGAAATGAGTCGAAGGCAAAGCCTCCCAGAAGCAAACACTGAGCAGCAGAACCCTGTCTTGATGAGAATTTTTCTCACTGCAGTCCAGGTGGATGCCAGGACTCCCATAGCGCTTTCAGTTAACGGAGGAAGAGAGACCTGATGTCCTGGCCAGCACTGTGTCTGTGCAAGTGCCCAGGGCTGTCCAAGCTGCTGACAACTGTTCTTGGAGCTGCTGTGTGCTGCCAGGATCTAGCTCTCTGACAGGAGTGCCCAGTGTTCCCAGGAAAGGGCAAGCTGCCGCCCCATCCCTGAGGACTGCTGTGTTCTCCAGGGCTCTGCACCGTCCAGCTGGAAGTGATCCCCCCAGAGTAGAGGAACAGGCAGCACAGGCCTGGGTGCTGAGCACACTTCTCCACTGAGCTGTTGGCTGAGTGCCTTCTACCTGCAGACCTTTCACAGCAATCTCCTGGAAAAGAGGTGCTATTGCTGAAGAGAGGCAGCAGATTGTCAATCCTCAATGACCAGATGGTGTTGTGCCTCTGTATGTAGGACAGGGTGGACCTGTAGCTCTCAGTGTTCTTGAATTGAGTGGTGTCTGAAAGCCTCCTTTCACCTCTCTGAATAGCAATGTAAGGCTCAGACATTTGCTGCCTGCTCCTGACTGTCAGGTCGGTGGATCTGATGGATCCCCATGGGTGCAGTACTGGAGGTAGGACAGAGCTGCTACAGGGGTGAACTTGGCCTCCTGGAGTCAAGAAGCAATTACTGTAACATGGGCCTCATGGACCTGGCCCTCTGAGTGGCACCGGGTGAAGCATCCAAAGAATTGATCTTTCTCCAGCTTGAAATTCCTATGTCTGTCTCTGGCTGAGGCTGGAAGATGCACCCTTTGAGCAGCTTCTGTCTTGGAGATGAGGAAGAAGTCCTAGGGATGACTGTCCTTGACAAAGGGGTGTCTCGCTGATTCTTTGTCTTGTACATTTCTCAATAATTCCTTTTGGCCCAAAGACACTCATTATTTATCTTTCATAGCCAAGAACTCTGAATTCAGAATTTATAACTTCATTAAGATATTTTGTTTATTCGCTTCCCAAGTTATACTGGGGCATGACAACCATCCTTCTATCTTTCTGCTAAGGAATTAAGCCCATGATTAGCTGCTAATTTATTAGCCCCTTTGTGCGTAAAGCTGTCTGCAATTAGGTATTGATCACTCACACAGTGATCTTTGGGTTTCTCCCACAGCTTGGGCTGTGATTTCAGCTGTAGGAGGGAGATGACTGGCTTGGTCCTTCCCCACTGTGTTGTTATCCGTTGGTCAATCAGAATTGTACAAATAACTGAGTTGTGCTTGATTAAGATTTGGGTCCCTTCCAACCTGGAATATTCCATGACTCTATGATAATGAGCCTGATATCATACCAGAGCCCTGGGTAGTTGGTATTTGTTATCAAAGCGGAGAGACATACCCTGTTTTACCTGCTTGTGCCAGGTGTTTCTCTGCCACTTTGCAGTCTTGTCAATTGCAAAGAACAGAAGAGGCTTGGAAGATGTCTCTTTGAAACCACAGTGTTTCAGGGTGATCATTCTAATGTTTTGTATGGGGTGGAGCTGTACAAAAAATATCTCCTGTCCATGTTGTGATCACTGGACAGGCTCCTAGCCAACTGATGTAATGCTGGCACGAGGTGTTTACATCTTCAAAGTCATTGAAAAAGTATCTCTGAGCTCCTGAATATGCAATGTCTGAGACCCCATTTGGCTCTCAGGTGTCAGAACGATACCTACCATATCTCAAACAGTGATGCCCAGAAAGACTTGGCTCTTTAGAGCCCATCAAAGTGAGAGCCTTCCATGGGTGTTAGTCAAAAGAGCAATCTAGCCTTCAGATTAGTATTTTGGGGTAATCTCCAAAAGCATTATAAATATCTTGGGAGCAGTCTTTGGATTTTTATGGAGCATTACCGATGGAGCTTCTGGTACTTGACATGGAGTTGATATAAAGTGGCTCAATTAAGGACTTAAACCCCTTTCAAAGACTCAAGCAACTTGATGCCTTTGGCTTCAGGATGGGCTACAGAATGAAAATATAGGCAAATATGGAAACTCTATTCAGGCAGATCCCAAAGGTGCTCAGTAAATCCATAATAGAGATGCAATTGTTTGCTCTTTCACGCATACGCTCACAGAGGCTGTTGCCAAACTCCCTTGAGTCCACGTCCTGTTCAGTTCTATTGGCCTGTTTGGCCCTGCTGCTTCCGGATGTCCTGAGTGTTTGTAAGACTGTTTGCTGTCTGAACCTGCCTATCTTCATTCAAATAAAGCCCCATGGTTTTGGGGTTTAGTGCATCAAAGGTGTGTATTTTGGCCACTCATTTACACAAAATATCCATAGCTTATTGATGTTTGCTCTCTCATAAGCAAAACGCCACATGGCTCACAGCAGCTGACTCTCGGTGCCGACAAGTCGAGGGAAGTAGATGCAGTGGAGATAAGCTCTTCCACACTGCTTCCAACAGGGACTCTGGAGAAGAGCTCTGCTGTGAAGTTCAGGCACCATCAGTCATACAATCAAATATCATTAAACTTCTCCCAGAAGATTGGCGTTATGAAAATCTTGTATTGTACTACTGCATTTTAGTAAGGCTGGGCAGAGTGCTTAAAGAGGTCTTGAGAAGGAAGCAGGAAGAAATCTAAGCCAGGCCAGGCAGCCAAGAAGAATTAGAGTGGAACCAGACCAGAATGATTTCAGGCTGAGAAGTGACCTGTGGTGGACCTCTAATTACTCTGCCAAAACAACACTGATGTCTGAAGCATCTATTTGATTTTGGGGGCATGGATTTGGGAAGTAGCTGCTTGTTGCTGAAGACTGTAGAAACTCTGACCCAAGATGACCCTTTTATTCCTCTACAAGCGAGGGTATAGAATGAAAAGAATATAAAGGAGACTTGTACTCCTGGTCCCACTGCAGCTCACAGCAGCAGATGAAAATAGGAACAAGAGTGTGGTAGGCATTGGCTGCTGCCTGCTGCTGTTCAGCCACTATGGGCAACGTCAAAGAAACTGCCTCAGTCTGTCAATAACCATCAATTCAGTGAAGCTGAAGAGATCAAAGCTTACAGCAAAGGAGAGGTTTTATTGTGCAAGCCCACCAGGGTCTGTAAACTTGCTTCTACGAGAGATCAAAAGCTGAAAGGGTGCATGACTTGTCCAAACTTCACTTTTGGCTTCACAGGCCCCATAGGCACTGCCAGCCTTACACTCAGACAGAACCAAACGCTGCATTGCTCCAAACCGTTAGCCTCAGGCAAAATACCCGGTATGGTGGCATTCCTTGGGAAAGGAGGATTTAAGTACAGAAAGCCTAGCTGACAGTGAATGATGCATTGCTGTACAGCAACAGGACCACTGTGCTTTTCCTAACAGAGCTGTGACATGCTGGACTCCGTCCCAGGGCACAGCGTTATAGATGGAGTGGGAAAGAGACACAGAGAGGAGAAGCCTTCTGTGTGTGCAGTGGCCTGTGGCAAATGGTCCAAGTGGCAGGTACTGCAGACAGCAGCATCACCCCTGGCCAAAAGGTTGCTTTGGTCATCTTCCAGAGCCTGCTTTGCATTCACACTGCCAGGTCCCAGTAAGGAGCAGTTGGTGCAGCCAGGTCAGTGCCCACACTGCCACACATTCCCATTTCAGTATGGGGGCTTTGGGAATTTCCCAGGAGTGGGAATCAACTGAATCATAGAATCATATAAAGTTGCTCAGGTTGGAAAAGATCTTAAAGATCATCAAGTCCAACCAATGGCGTTTGAGTTCTGCTAAGTGATGAACTTGGAATTTGAGCTGCAATTCAGCAATAATTGATGTAGTACTTGTTTTAATGTCTGCCATTAACTGCAAAAGCAGAAAATGCAGCATCTGCATGACACTGCAATGGCAGATGATCCACGACTGCTCATTTTGAGATATGACGAAAGAGAGCAGGACACCTGGTTTCCATCCTGCTCTCAGTGATGCACCAGGTCACACCCATTTCTGTAACAGTTGGATTGTACCAAGGATCCCTCCTGCAGGTTGCACCCCCGCTGTGACGTACGAGCAGCACTTGGCATGAACAGGTTTCTCTCCAGTCCAACTCATCAGATGTCATGGGAAGACAATTTTATATTGTAGGAACACTGCAGCTGTGGAAGGCAGCCCGGTGGCAATCTCTTCAGCATGCCTGACCTTTGGTCCGTATGGTCTTTTATCCATAGCCTTTCACAGAATCGCAGGGGTCGGAAGTGACCTCTGGAGAGGTCCCTGCTGGTAGGGTTCCTCTGGGATAACCTGGTGTTGGTCACAGGAACTGAACTGCAGGCTGAAGCTTTGGTTCACAGGGTGAGAGGGAAAGCAGCCTGGCACATGGCTCCTGCTTGGTGCTCGCTGCTGTAGTCAGAACTCAGAAGGAAATCCTGCTGGGTGGCTTTGCAGCTACTAACATAAAATCTTGTCCAGCATACCACTGGCTGGGCACACTGCACGGTGCTACTGTGCCCCCAGCTCCTGGGACAGTGGCACCGAGAGCAGCAAGGGCACTCAGGGTTGGCATCCTGTATTGCACTGGGAGCTCAACTGTCCCCTGACCCTGCAGATGCATCCTTAAGGATGCTCTGAGTGAGGCAAGGAGGGGTGAGAGTGCTGTGTGCCCCCACCACTCCACCGTAGCACTCCTTGCTATGGGCTCAGATATACAGGGAAATCTGCACAGCCCTTTCTCCTTTGGTTAGAGTGGCATCCAGTGGCCCATACGCCTTCTTGAGGGCTGTGTTACAGAGCCCTTACTCTCACTGGCATGCAAGTGTCCATCTCCATTTCAAAGTCTCTTCCTCAAAACCCTCACCTGAATATAGGAACCTCTGCCTCCTTCCATCTCTGCCCTCCCCCTAAGGTCTGGCCCAGGGTCCCTCCCAGTGCTCTGCAGAGATCTCCTGCAGGCTGCAGTGCTGCTGGCTTTCTGATGTCACTCACAGAGTGCTCTTAGCCAGGGGCAGCGATGTCGCAATAAATACCCTCTTGGGTGCACATGGGAGGACAGAGATGGAACTGCATTGCCCCCACCCTCAAGCTCCTCAGACAGAACAGATGGCCGGGCCGTTCCATCATCCTTTCTGCCATGGCTGCCCCCAACCCAACCAGACCCAACCCTGTGGCCTGGGCTCCTGCTCAGCATTCTGCACCCAGCTCTGCTGTGCAGCATTGGGCTCAGGTGCTCTCGCGGCACCTGAGATCAGCCCTGTCTTCTGAGACATCACACAAGTACGGCTGGGGGTGTGTGCAGGGGATTTATTAATAACCTGCCTGATTTCACCTGCCTGCTCAGTCATAACAGTCCCAGACATGCTGCCTTTCCTCCCCCGTTTTCCATATGCTAATGCTTTCCTCTCACCTGCCAGGGGCTGCTTCATGTCAGCCTGACAGACAGCCCTTTAACTTTCTCCTCCTGCAAACTGTGTGGTCCAGGAGAAGGAGGTCATCTGCCAGAGGAGGTCTCGTGGCCCGGTGTGTTTCCAAACCATTTGGAGCCCTGAGTGGAGGGAGCCAAACCATGGTTTGGGGCCAGTGGCCCCAGGTCCCTGCCCCATGCTGCTGCACCCAATACATCCCAGGGGTTGCTGGCCTTCAGCAGCAGGTGCTGCACTGTCCTGCACTAGGTCTTCTGAGCTGGATAGAGACGTGCTCTGGAGCTGTTGCTCATGGCTCCCCTAAACCTTCTCTGTCTTCGCTCCTTAAAATGGCTCTGTGTGCAGCAGGGTGAGTCTGGACACAGCCCAGGCCAGCTGAGCACTTGGCTGCTGCAGCACCACATGCTGCAGGTCCCTGCAGGCAGCAGGGCTGCAGTAGCCCAGGTAGGGACAAGGGGGCCACAAAAGGGTGAAGGCAGGAAAGGTCAAGTTTAGGCCTGGGAAGCTCCAGATGACCTTTGCCTCTCCTGCCTGCTGCTGCCCACAGGGCTTTTCCCCTTCTCTCCTTAGGCCTGCAGGGGGCTGAAGCCATCCCCTGGAGGAAGCTGCTTGCTGGGGAGCAGAGAGCTCCCTGTATCCCTCTGCATTCAGTTCCACAGATCCCCAAGCCAAGGCAGTTCTCATGCTGTCCTTCGCTTTGTTTTAGGGGCCTTCAATAACCAAGAACTTTCAGAAAGGCAGGCATGGGACATGAACCTCCATTTGTCATTTGTTCTGCTTGGAGTCTGTTCTGCCCACTGCCCCGCAACAAGCCCAAATGTTTCCCCTCCCCGTACCCTTCTCCCAGCTACTGGAGGAGGCTGGCGTCCTTACCAGGACCTGCAAAGAGCTGGAGATGGGCACCAGAATTTCCTGGGCCAGGCTGGGCAGTGGGGGCTGGTGCTGAGCAACCCCTGGGGTCCTGGCGAGGCCCTTCCCAGCACCCTGTTGTGCCTTCCCTCTCCCTCAGGCTCCCAGGTATCAGGCTGTGTTTCTCAGTAGTTATTACCCATGTTGAGCACCTCCCTCTATTCTTGGACCTTTCGAGCATCTTTTGTTTCCCAGGCATTCTCCTCTCCCTCTTTATTTTTAAATTAAAAAGGATTTAAAAAAAAAAAAAAAAAAAGACGTTTCCATAGGAACTTTGGTGAGAAGCTGATTCCGACCTCATTATTTGCTCAGTGAAAGGAACTTTATTTTCATCTGTTTGTGTACATTGTCAGATTTTGGCTAAACCTACTTTCCTGACTTTGTACAGCACGTTCTTTTAATCTTCATTTCAAATGCATTCATCCCGTGGCTTAATTTATCCCATATTGTGATCAAATTTAGCTGAAAGCGATCTGCTTTGCCAATTTTGAATATTCATCAGCTGCCTCGTTCATTCACCAAAGCAAACCCCGCTCAGAGCGGGCAGCCACAACTGCAGCAGCCTCTGCCGGGTGCCGCTGAGCAGGGCAGTGCTCAGGGCGCTGCTCCCAGAGCTGCCCCCCAGCCCAGTGAGAGCTGTGTGCCTGCTGCCGGCAGTGCTGGCAGCCCCCTGCCATGCTGGCAGATCACTGGGAATGGGTGGCCCCGACATGGGCTGCCTGGCTACACACAGCAGCGTGGGGCCGTGGGGTGCTGGCACGGTTGGTTGTCTGAAGGAAGAGGAAAGGAGGCTGCCCAGCCCAGGGGGAATCATGAGATCGAGAGGTGGAGGTTGGATGCCTTTGCCAGGGTCCCCTATGGGGCCCAGAGGTGGTTGAGGACAACTCCACTCTGTTTGGAACTTGTGCACAGATAGGATCTTCTCAGTCTCTCCTCATGACCTAGCCTTGTTCAATCAGAACCATCAAGGTTTCATCCTATCCTACATCCTTCTGGGTGAATGTTGAGGGAGGAGGCTGTCCCCACTGCTCTGCTGCTGTGAGACCCCACTGCAGCACTGCATCCAGCCCTGGGGCTGCCGTTACAAGAAGGACGCAGAGCTCTGGAGCAGGTCCAGAGGAGGCCACAGAGGTGCTCAGAGGCTGGAGTACCTCTGCTATGAAGAGGCTGAGGGAGCTGGGGGTGTTTGCCTGGAGAGGAGAGGGCTCTGGGAAGACCACCGTGCGGCCTTCCAGTACTTACAGGGAACCTACCAGAAAGATGAGACGCTTTACTAACAAAGGGAAATGGTTTAAAACTGAAAGAAGGGAGAACGAGGTCAGATGTGAGGAGGAAGTTCTTTGCTCAGAGGCAGTGCGGCCCCGGCACTGCAGCCCGGAGCAGGGGGTGCCCCATCCCAGGAGCATTCCAGGGCAGGTTGGATGGGGCTCTGGGGCATTTGGTCTAGAGGGAGATGTACCTGCTCATGGCAGGGTTGTGGAACGAGGGGACCTAACCCTAACCCAAACCATTCTGTGATTCTATGAATTCATTATCCAGAGAAAAACTCATGAGATGTTTGGGAAAACACTGTTAGCATGGGGTGCACAACATGTTTTCTCACAGTGCCCAGCTGCCGCTGGGGGACAAGCAGCTCTTTCTCTGGGAAGGTGCTGTCAGCACTTCTCCCTGATTTAGTCCTGTCTTGGCTGTGACCATCTGCCCAAAGCACAAAACAAGGGTCCCTGACCTCAGCTGTGTATTAACAGCAGTGAAGGTCAGCTGTGGTTTCTTTCCTCAAAACCTACCAGAGTGTTCTATTTGTGCAGGTCCTGCACTGTGAGCACAGCTCCAAGAGGCAGTGCTGGGAAGCAAGGCCCAGCCTGGCTCTCAGTGCCTGGGGTCCCTCAGCCGCTGTGCTGCTCCGTGCAGCCATGAATGAGGGAAGGAAGCGTGCCGCCCACCATTTGTGCTGCCGCTTGTTTACTCTTCCATTTTCAGGTTACCAGCAAAATGACTCTATGACAAAGTTGAAAGAAAATGACCTTGGTGATGATACTGAGGTTTCTAAAAGGAGCTTTAGTACAGAAATGATACAGATTGCCCCATTCCCTTTGTGTCTGTGAATTAGCAGTATCTTAATGACATGAAAAAGCTTGTTTGAAAACTGGGATGAAACAGTTCTATTCACTAAATATTTATGAAAAAAAAATTAAAATAAAATAAAAAAATTCCAAGGTGGATTGTTTTGGCATCAGTGTCTCTTCCCACTCCCCCAGGCTCAGCCTCCACAGTCCCAGGGGCCGAAGGAAGGAAAAAGGCAGAACTGCTTGCACCTCGCAGAGCCATGTTCCCACAGCATGGGCACTGCTTTGTGCCCTGTGCCCCACTGCTGCTGTGCAGATCAAGGGTGAACACACGTGGGCAAAGAGGTGGGCACACGTGGGCATCGTGAGCAAAGAGGTGTTTAGTTCAGGGTCTCATGGCTGTTATATTACACTTCTCTAGCTGACCATGTCACATCCTTATTAAATTATGCTTTCAGTCTCAGTTTCCTCATCCATAAGAGGCACAGCCTAATAAAATCTGGATCATGGATCAAAATGATGTTCTTGGTATATTCAGCTGGAAAATGGATACCTGTGGTGCCTGTGAGATATTCATAAGCCAAGAACCAGTCTGAGAGCCAAACGGTGGGCTTTTCCAAGGCAGAGCTCAGCGCACTCAGCCAATCAGTACTAGCTGTGTCCTGTTCTTCTGGAAGACATGAGATTGCTAATACAGAAACAAATGAGGTTGCAAAGTGTTTCAGGAGAGAGATCAGAAGCCGTGGGTGAGGAGCCAGCTGGGAGACGGACGTAGCATTTCAGCACTGGAAGAAAGTGTGGGCTCTGGGGGTGAGAATAGCCCAAGTAAACACCGGGAGCAAAGGGCCTCAGCAAAGCCAGAGGCAGCATTTGTAAAAGGGCTTCAGCATTTTGTGCATCACCTTTCTCTAGAAGGTCTAGTGTGATATGCCCGGAGTGAGACAAAGCAGAAATTCATGCATAATGCTGCCACCGAATCTCCCATTAAATCCATCCCTCAGTATTAACGTCACTTTACAGCTCTTGCACTCACGTTGCACTGCCCCTAGAGACTTGAGATTACCAGGAGAGAAGCACACTGGGGCTTTAAGATGGGCTCCCACAGCACCATGCCACGTTACACCAGCTGAGCATCTGCCCCTAATCTGGTTTAGCTGAACGCAGCTCAACAAAACCACTAAGTGGATTGTCTTATCTCTTCTCCACTAACCCAATATGTGAATCAGATCTGGCTGGTTTCTGTATGGTGTACGAGTTTGCCCTGCAATCACTCAGGAAGTCTGTGCCATTATTCAGCACAGTCCCAGCCAGCTGGCTCCAGCCTCCTTTGCCACCGTTGCCACGCCGTGCAGGGTCCTTTGCTGTATGCCTCAGCCACGCAACTCCTGGGCTATTGGGCAGAATAGATGTGCCCTACCCCGACTTCTCTGCATCCTTTGCTGGCCACAGTCGCCTCCCATCTCCCTTTAGTGTTGCAGCAAGGGCAAGAGCAGGATGCAACCCTGTGCTGATTTGTTCCTTTATCAGCAGCACTGTCTGCACTGACAGGACTTTGAAGGCACAAGCTGGGAGTTCTACACAGGCAGTTCTCCTATTTTCTGCTGTCCTGGTGCAGGCTTTGGCACAGGTGATGGGTGAGGGGAAGAGGAAGGGAAGAGGCAGGGGCATGACCATTGGAAGGTGGCCAAGAACACCTGTATGAGAAGTGCAGCTCAGGAACCAAGGTCCTGTCCCTTTTTTAATTCCAACAAGCCTACTTCAGGTTCTTGAATCATTCAGGCCTGCAGTGTAACACAACTAATGCTCACAGCCCACGTTCATTTCTCTACCTGCTTGCAGTAGACAGCAGCTTCCAGCCCTGGAGCACAATCTCCAGCCCTGCCTGGACATGGCACTGCTTGCCTGTCTTTCCTAGGTCAAAAAAGCAGGGACAAAGAGCAGGTGATCAAAGGTCTTTTTTGGCTGGAGATCTCAGGCTGAGACTGAAGGGGCATCAGCCAAGCACAGCATGGGGCAGTGCTCCCCCAAGCCATCAAGTCACTGCTGCAGGGTCCTGGAACAGACTGGCAGTGTGACCACAGGGCATTCCTGCCACCACAACAGCAGGCACAGGGCAAGAGCAGTACTGTCCCTAGTAGCTGAGACAAAATATCCTGGATGAAAACTCGTTATGCATGGAAGAAAATAAGTGCAACTCAAAGCATTCTGCTCCCCAAGGAAGATGGGGATGGAGAGCAGTGTCACCCCATCATACTTTCAACAGGGAACAAGAGGTTGCCTTAGCAGAAATGAGCAGATTAATTTTCTGCCTGCTGCTTGCCAAGGACGAGCTGTGTTTGCAACCTACAACACTGCAAGACATGCACTCCCTGCTGGAGCCATGTTACACCAGGGACATGCTTGGCCACTTGCAGCCTACTTTATGTCTCCCTGGCCTTTCTGATTACTTGCTGCTACAGTTCTTGTCTGTGACTGGTACCAGCTTTTTAATTTCCCAAGCTGCTTAGAATCAAGCAAGATTGGATATGAGTTCTCCTGGGACAGTCACTTTCTTGCTTTTTTTTAAAAGAAAGAACAACCCCTTAGAGCTTTCAGAGACAGGTTAAAGGCCACTCAAGTCCTCAAGGCTCCAATTTAGATCAAGATCAGCATATTCTTGTTGTGAATGAAAAGGAATTTCCTCTGGACACGTCCAGAGAGCTTTTCCAGAGAGCAATGTGGTCCCTCAGCAAATTTGCTGATGACACCGAGCTGTGGGGTGCAGTTGAGATACCAGAAGGATGGGATGCGATTCCAGGGGACCTGGGCAGGCTGAGCAGTGAGCCCAGGTGAACCTCATGAAGTTCAACAAATGCAAGTGCAAGGTCTTGCACCTGACTCAAGGCAACCCCACTTCCAATACAAGCTGGGAGATGAAAGGATTGAGAGCAGCCCTGCTAAAAAAGATTTGGGGTGGGTGGGAAGCTGGACATGAGCCAGCAATGTGCCCTCAGCCCAGAAAGCCAGCTGTATCCCGAGCTGCATCAAAAGAAGCACGGCCAGCAGGGCAAGGGAGGGGATCTGCCCCTCTGCTCTGCGAGACCCCACCTGGAGTACTGCATCCAGTTGTGGAGTCCTCAGTACAGCAGAGACATGGAGCTGTTGGAGTGTGTCCAGAGGAGGGCCACAAAAGCGATCCCAGGGATGGAACATCTCTCCTGTGAGGACAGGCTGAGAGAGCTGGGGCTGTGCAGCATGGAGAGGAGAAGGCTGTGAGGTGACCTGAGGGCACCCCTGCCGTATGTAAAAGGGAACAATAGGAAAGAAGAGGACAGACTCTTCTGTGTGATAAAACAAGGGGAAATGGCTTCAAGGTTAGGGAAGGGAGATTTAGATTAGATACAAGGAAAAAATCTTTTACAGTGAGGGTGGTGAGGTACTGGAACAGGTTGCACAGAGATGTGGATGTCCTGGAGACTTTCAAGGCCAGGCTGGACCAGGCCCTGAGCAACCTGATGGAG